CCGCCGCCGTCCGGCCGCCCGCGCTCCGCTCCCCGCGCTCCGGAGGCCCCGCATCCATCCCGCTGCGCCCCTGCGTTTTAATTACCGCCGCATTAATATTCATGAGCCGGCACTCAGGGGGACCGCGGGCTGTCATTTCCCTTGCCCGCACCCCCTTTCCCGGCTGAGTCGTGGGCTTTTCCCTCCCGCTCCCACCCCCGGCCGCCCGCGCCAACAGTTGGCACCCAGCAGATTTGGGTGTGTGTGTGGGGGGTTCGTGCGCGCAGGGATATGGGGGTGCGGGGTGCGCAGCGGTGTGAGCGCCGAGCACTGCGCACCGTGGGCCAGGAGGACGTGGCGTGGCGCCGAGTGTGCGCTGTGCCCCGTGGGCAGGGTGACCCGACGGCTTGTGCCCGTGCCCGCGCATGTCTTGCCCGGACCCGGAGAAGAGTCAAAGCCGTCTAGGCTAGCAGGTCCTGACTGTCCAGATGGGGAAACTGAGGCCTGGAGATGGGCTGAGACTTGTCCCCACAGGACCGGAACCAACGGTTTACACGGCTTGGCTGCCTGGCGTCCTGGGCTGTCTGTGACTCCCACAGGACCTGCGCAGCGCACCTGGGGGGCAACTGCTATCCTCTGTTGCCATTGCAGTTGGGGAAACTGAGGCATCTGGTCCAGCTGGTGAGGGGAAGAGCTGAGTGCAGAGCCCCTAGCTTTAACTCCCATCATCGTGACCCCTTTGTCCCAAGGGCCCCGTTGAGTTCAGGCAGCCAGATTTTGAGGTACCTCCTACCTTGGGCTGGGGGTCAAGAATTCATCCATCAACACACCCATCCTTCCATCCATCCATCTACCTCTCCCCCACCCATCCATCCATCTACTCACCCATCCTTCCATCCATCCACCCATCCATCCATCCATCCATCCACCCATCCATCTACCCATCCATCCATCCTTCCACCCATCCATTTATCTATCCATCCATCCACCCATCCATCCACCTATCCATCCATCCATCCACCCATCCTTCCACCCATCCTTCCATCCATCACCCACACACCCATCCATCCCCCCATCCATCCAATAATCCTGTGCCTCCTACCTGCCAGGCAGAGATGCCCTGCCCCCAGCGCTGACCACCTCCCCTGAGGGCTGGGCTCCAGGCACCAAGCGGCTCCTGAGCCTGTGAGTCGGTTCCGGGGCTGTGGGTCCTGGGGTGCCTGTGCCACTGCAGCTTCCTTCCCCACCTCAGTGGTCTGGGGACCAGAGAGGGGCCGTGGTCACTTTGGGGCTGGCAGGAAGGTGGCCACGCCAAAGGCCACTCAGCCTCCCGTTCTCTCTCCTGGAACCTGTCCATCCTCCAGCCCAGTAATCTGACGGGCCGCTCAGCCCATTTTTCCCGGTGGTGCCGGGTGACCTTCCCCCCACAGCCCCGCTTCCCTGCCCTGCACCCTGAGCCTCCAGGACCAGCCAAGTGTTCCCATCTCTCCATGCAGGGGGTTGTCCTCATGTCTCAGCCACATCTCCCAAGCCTCTCCTCCCTCCCTTGGGGACCTCCCTGGGAATGTGGGAAGCGGGCAGGGGTGATGTCAGGGCATTCCCTGCAGAGGAAGCAGTGGTCTCGTTGGGCTTTGCAGAGTGAACGGGAGTTTGTCTCGGAGGAAAGGCAACTGCAGGCCCCATTCTGGGAACCTGAGCAGGCCCAAGGGCATGGCTGGGGAGGCCGGAGGGACGGATGGCTCACTGTCCCTCCTGCCTCTGCCCTGAGCTGTGAAAAGCGGACGGCAGTCGTGCTGAGGTGCCCTGGGTCAGACTGGGATCAAGACACTGTCCTGAAGCCTCCAGCGCCCACCTGGTGCTTCTGCAGGGACAGTCTGTCCTCAAGGACAGGGGCAGGCCCTGCAGCCACGGTCCCCACCTAGCCCTGATGGATCTGAAGGGCCCCACCGTGGGGAGGAGCAGGGGGCCCCGAGATAGAAGGCTGAGGTACCAGGTAGGGAGGTCTCAAAACTCCCACAGCCTGCCTGCTGGGCGGGCACTGACAGAGGAGGTGATGCAGCCGGATGGGCCACTGCCCACCTGCCAGACATCCAGCTCTCAACTCCGGCACCCTCCTGCCTCAGCCTCCTTTACCCCTCTTTCTTCTGACTTCCCTTTTTCCTTTATATGCCTCCCTTTTGGTTGTTTTGTGAGGCAGGGTCTCACTAGGTAGCCCAGGTTGGCCTCACGGCGATCATCCTGCCTCAGTCCGCTGAATGCTGGAATTACAGGCGTCTGCCACCACCTTAGGACAATGTCCATATCTGCTCAGATGCCTTCGATGGCTCCCTAGTGTCAGTGCTGGGCCCCCTTATTTTTGTGGCTGCCTCCCTTGATGTCTTTCCTGCATATCACAGGCCCTGGAGAAGGAGACATCTTTGTAAAACAAGCAAGCTGCTTTTTCTTTCGAGACTCAGACACTGAGACAGGATTCTGTTCTAATCCCATCGTCTCCTGGCTGTGTGTTCTTGGAAAGATGAATCCACCTCTCTGAGCCTCTGTTATTTCATCAGGAAAGTAAAGTTAATGGAAAATCTCCTCCCAGAGCAACAGTGTGACTGCGACTGCAAAATACCCAGAGCTGATCTGTAGCAGTGTCATCCAGTGTCCTTCAGACTTGTCCAAGGTCACCTGTCTGGTTGGGGACAGAGCTGGGACTCCGCTCCTGTCTCTTCCTACTGCAGAGCTCCCTGCTGAAGAGTCACCGGCGCAGAGAAGCTGAGCTGTGCAGCTGGGGTCACACAGCACTGTACATAAGCCAAGGGTCTATCTGCCGGGGCCCGTGGGGCGGACCCTGCTCTTGCCGGCCCCAGTTCCGGGGGCTGATGGCCTCCTTCACTAAGGGCTGAGGCCTAGCCTCCTTCCTCATAGTGACCCCACTCCGGGTGGGGGGCCACAGCTGGAGGATGTGGCCCCCGCCAGCCAGAAAAGCACTCCAGGGGCTCTGCAGTCTTGGGTAACATCTGGGGCCCCCCAGCCCTAGCCCGAAGAGCCTGCCCAGCTGCGCCTCTGAGCCGCACCCTGACTCTTCTCCAGCTCTGCCAGGGAAACTGGAAATTTCTGCTCAGCAGCCCTGTTGGCCGGGCGGATTCCGAGGCGGAGGCGGCTCAGCGGGGGACGGGAGGAGGAGGAGGGCAGTGGGCGCCGCCAGACCGGCTCAGCATTCCTGAGGCTCCGACTCGGGCACCGCACCGGGAGGGGGTTCACTAGGCCCAGCGGAGCCCCTCGGAAATAACAACAAAGCCCGAACAGTGACGCCTCCGAGCACTCTGGGAGGCTGAGGCAGGAAGGTCACAAGTTCTAGACCAGCACAGGCAATTCAACCACTTAATACGACCTTGTCTCAGAATAAAACGTAGGAACTTTTGGAAAGGGGCTGGAGAGCCTGCTCAGTACGGGGCCCTGGCTTCCATCTGCAGTTCCGCAAAGCCAAACCAAACAGTGACAAAATGGCCTTGAGAACCTTGGGGCGCCCAGGGAGCTCACCCCTGTCCCCAGCCCGGGTCACAGGTGGCCTGGAGGGAGGGCCACGCTGTGCAGGGCAGCCCACCAACCCAGCTAGGTGCTGGGGAGCAGGCAGGGCTGGAAGAGAGGTGTGTGGGGGTGGGGCCCCCCAAATAAACAGGTTCAGCCATGGGCGGCTTGGCCAGCACTGGGGAAAGGCCAGGCGGCTGCTCCTGGGGCCCCCCAGCATCCAGGCGGCCCTCCCCGGAGTCTGGGGCCTGTGTTTCCAGCGGTGGGGATCTTCGGCCCTGCGGCAGGGGGAGCCTGGGCAGATTCAGCCAGGGTTAACCACCCCACTGTGCGCCCCTAGGCCACAAGCAATGGGGAGGGGGAGTGGTGCAGACCCCAGACCCGGGCAAAGGCAAGGAGCAGGGATCGGAGCCCAGGGCAGGCGGGTCCAGCACCCTGAAAATGGATCCAGCGATCTCTAATGGCCCGGGGCTGGGGGCTCGGCGAGAGCCTGGGAAAGAAGCCGGGGGCTGAGGGGACCAAGCCAGCCCCCCTCCTCGGCCAGGCAGGGCGCGGCGCCCAGTTCAGCGGAAAGGAATGCGGCGCTCGAGGGGAAGGCTGAGGCAGCGCACCCCCTCCGCACCCGCGAGCCTGGAGCTGCGGTCTCGGGACTACAGGCGGTCTCGCCGGGGATCAGACCCTCCCTGGCCCGAAGTGGGGGCGCCCCGCCCCCCGGGCCGTCCTCGCCTCGCCCCTCCCCCGCCCCTCCCCCGCCCCTCCCCCCTCCATAACTCAGAAGCTTGTCAGGCCGGTTCCAGACTCCTGGCGCCGGGCTCTGCTCCAGGAAAGAAAGAAAGAAAAAAAAAAAAAGCAATGAGAAAAAGGGAAAAAGCCGGCGCAGGCGAGCGAGCGAGGCAGCGAAACGAGGGGCCTCGCACGCACGCCTGCAGCCCGGCGCCCCCCCCGGCCTGGACCCCGCCCCGGGGTGCCTCGCGGCTCCTTTATCCACGGCCCCATCGGGGTTCAGCGCCGCCAGGCGGGGAGGGCGGGGGGCAGCGCAGACCCTCCCGCCCTCCCGCGGGGTCGGGGTGTGAGGGGCGCCCACGCCGGTCTGTTGCGAGAAAGCTGCGTCGGGGTGCGCTCCGGGAGCGGCGCGGGGGAAGCTGCGAGGAAGCGGCCGAGACCTCCCAGGGCCGCGGGGCGGGGAGAGGGCGCGGCGGGCGCGGGAACAGCCCGGCCCTTTGCTTCCTCCTCGCTGCGGCCCACTGTGTGCCCCGGGCCCCACGGCAGAGGACGCAGTGGGGAGGGCCTGCGCCCCAGTCCTGGCCGGGTCGCTTGCCCCCTCCCCACCGCTGTGTGGTTTTGAAAATGTCAGGCGATGGGCAGCGGGACACAGCCTGGCACGGGTGTGTGCGCTGGGGGCCTCTCCGCGCGCGCCCGGGGTTCTCCTCCGCCCCCCACCTGTGGCTCTCCAGGGCCTGCCTCCTCCCTGCCCCCAGCTTCCGAAGGGCATTGCCGAAGCCAGGTCCTCACACCTGCGCCTCCAGCGGGCTCCTTAATGGCCTGGCCGTTCGTGGGGCAGCCAGAGGGGTCTGCCCGGGTCCCCCTCACCCTCTGGCTCCTCATTTTCACCCTCCCTTCCCCCACTTCTCTCCCTTCCCCACCCCCACCTCCTCCATTTTCCCAAATTCCTGGTCCCTGCTGTTTGGCTAGAAATGTTTCAGGCACTGAGGGCCAGAGGGTAACAGGCAGTCAGAACAGAGGGGCAGCTGGCCCTGGACACACGCGGGGCCCTGACCAAGGTGCCCAGGCTGAGGCGTTGAGGAGGCTGCCTGTTCCCTGCACACAGGTGTGTGGGGGAGTTTGCCTGTCCCATGATAAATCTTCCAGTGGCACTGTTAGGCGGTGGGACCAGAGCCAGATTTTGTGGGACTTGAAGCTTTTACAATCTTAGGGACCCACTCTGAGAAGAATGCTTGCTGGGTGGGGTATAGTGGTGCACAGCTGTAATCCCAGCATGCTGGGAGGCTGAGGCAGGAGGATCCCAAGTTCTAGCTCAGCCTGGGCAATTTAGACACCTATCGAAACCCTGTCTCAAAACAAAAAAAGGGCTGGCAACAGAGCTCAGTGTGAAGGCCCTGGGTTCAATCCTCAGTGCCGTGAAAAGATGAAGCCCCTGGAGCTTCCCCTCCTAGGTGACACAGCTGTCCCTCCTTTGGTTGCCAGCCCCGAGTCATCGAGACAGAAAGGAGGAAGCCGGGACTCAAACCCACCGCTCTGCCTCACACATGCCTTCCAGAGACACCTGCCCGCGCGGGTGGGGACAGCCTGTGCTTCCTCCACGCCCAGGCTCCAGCGAGGAGGCCAGGGCAGGCCTTCCCCAGCCTCTCAGTGCCCACAGTGAGGCGGAAGCAGCTCAGTGTGGAACGCGCGCCCAGGGCCGTCCCCGCCGGGCGCCAGCTCGGGTCTGTTTCTGGCTCCGTGTTCCAGGCTCCCACCCGGTGCAGGCGCAGAACAGCCAGAATGCTTCACCAAGGACATCTGCTCCCAATCTTCGTGGTCAAGGACTTGTTAAACTGCAGATTCCTGGGCCTCGGGCCACTGAACCCTGCTATCTGAGCTCCGACCTGGGTTTTACATCAGCACAGTCAGGCTTGAGACACCCGGAGCTGGGCTCTGAGCAGGCCCGCGCTGTCCCAGACCGAGCCGTCTCCCCCGACAGAGATCACCTCCCTTCACCTTGCCCCTTCGTGTCTCCCGGTGCCCTCACTCTTCCAGCTGAGAGCTAATCGTTCACAGATGAAAAACCCACCAGGCCCGGTGGGGTGTCACGTGCCTGTGATCTCGTCTCTCGGGAGGCTGAGGCAGGAGGATGTCGAGTTAGAATGTAGCCTGGGCAACTTAGTGTGAGGCCATCCTGAGCTACAGAGCAAGAGCTTGCCTCAAAAAAAAAACACCCCAAAATAGTTGGTAAATAAATAAAGACGCAGGGGGGCACGGCCCCAGGGAGGAAAGGCGGGAAGGAACAAGCACCCTGCACTTCTCCACGGCCCCCCCCACAAGCCCTAGGCACCAAGCTAGCAAGGACCCTCGAGAGGCATCTTGAGAACAGAGGGAACTGGAGCACCCCACTGCAGAGCCACCGCAGGGACCTCTAGCTGGGCTGTGAGGCACAATTAGCGCTGGTCTCCAGGAGGCCTCGTCCAGCTCCCTCCGCCCCGTGCAGGGAGAGTGTGTTTGTGGAAGGATTTGCTGTGTTTGCTGCAGGCAAATCTCTGCCTTTTCTCTACTGGCAGCTGGTGAGAGAAACTGACTCCTAGGCTGCGCTCCGGGGTCCCAAAGGGCTGCCTGGGGCAGGGGCATGGCTTGTTCTAGGGGGACACCCCCCCCAAGGCAGAGTGAGGAAGCTATCCAGAGAGGTCCGGTCAGCCTCACCAGGTGAACCACCCATCCTTGGTGACAGCAGCTTTGTAGGTAGTGAGTGCCCTGTGCTGGGAGGTAATCAAGGACAGGCCAGGGTGGAGGGTGGTGTGTGTGGGCAGAGAAGGAACCGAGAGTTGGCCAGAGATCTATTTCAGAAGAAGGCCATGAGGAGCAGAGCGGCACTGGTGGAGGAGGACGAGGAGGCATGTGACCTCCATCATCAGGGCAGCCCGGCCCTGGCCTGTTCTGGCCCCAGGACCCAGGGAGAGGCCCCTCACCCAGCGTGCTCATGTCACCCCAGGAAAGTGGGTGTCAGGGAAGAGCCGTGACATCTGAAGGCCACTGGGGCACCAGCAGCTCCTGCTCTCCTGGGTCCCACCTTGGGCTTCTCCTACACCCCACGTCCTGCTCCTATGAATAATTTTTATTGTTATTTCTTTATTTATTTGTCTTTTGAGTCAGGGTCTCACTGTGTAGCCCAGGCTGGCCTTGAATTCATGGTGATCCTCCTGCCTCCGCCTCCTGAGCGCTGAGACAGCAGGGCCCAGTGAAAACATTATTAAAGAAACGAGAAGACCTGCTGTGTGTCTTGCGGTTACTGTGTGCTGGGCGATGTGCCCGGGATGGCTTTCTGACCTGTCAAATGGGATAAGGGTGCCGCCGTCTCTCTGGCTCTCTGTCCACAAGGTCAACGATGGCCACACCTTCCCCTCTAATTCTTTCTTTCGTGTGTTTGTTTGATTTGATTTTTTCAGTACTGGTAACTGAACCCAGGCCTTCGCACTGAACTACGTGCCCAGCCCTTTTTAAATATTTTTAAATATTTTGAAACAAGGATTTGCTAAATTGCTGTTACTAAGGCTAGGCTCACACTTGGAATCCTCCTGCCTCAGCCTCCTCAAGTGCTAGGGTTACAGGCGTGCACCACCACGCCTAGCTTCCCTTCCTAATTTTTCCCATGTGCTCTGCGGGGCCAAGGCTATAGAAGTGCTGACCCCCCCCCATCCTTTACAAGAACACTAGAAGATGTGGAAACCTGACTTTTCTCCCAGTTCTTGTGGGAAGGACTCCTATGGAGTCCTCAACACCCTGCTCAGGTGCCCTCAACCTCTTCTGAGTCAGTTTGCTGCTGCTGTAAAGGAACACTGGGTCATTTAGAAACAATAGAGGCCTCTTTGGAATATGGCTCTGGAGTCTGGGACTCCCAAGGTGCTGGGGCCACCTATGTGCAAGACCTCGAGTTCGGGGAGGGTCAGGTGGGTGGGGCTTATTCTCCATAATGAACCCGCTCTGCCCGTATCCCATGGGCCCCGTCCCAGCCCACGCTGCGACCCTCACCGTGGAAACCAGCGCCTCTGTGTCCGTGGCTGATGACACGAGACCGTGCTGCTTCTGCTTAGGATGTTTTTCTGTGCTTCCTGACAAGGGCCTGACACCCTCCCTGGCCCCAGAGACCCTTTCTGTGCCCCCTTGACAGAGGGCGCGTTGAGGCCCAGGGGCCTCGGGGGTCTGGTCCAGTGGCACAGGGAGCGTTTGCCCTTCTTGGCCCCTGGGCTTCTGTCTGTCTGGAACTGGAGGAGTGGCCCACAGCAGGCCCCAGGAGCAATTGTTCAAGGAAGGAGGGAGTGCGTGTGTGAGTGAAAGGGAGTCCTCTTCCTCCGAGGTGCTGGTGGCTGGCCGGGCCCAGCCCAGACCTGCAGCTTCACCGACCCTCCCTCCCGCCGCACTGTGTGACCTCAGCCAGGGCAGCAACCTCTCTGGGCTTCTCTTTCCACCCACACAGGTGTCTCTTCTCTCTTGTGGTGCTCAGGCCTTGGAAGGGCGGGTCCTTCCTTTCTGGGGCCCGCAGGACCTGTTCTCAGGGGAGCAATCCTTTGTCTCTGGTTTTTAGCAGGGGATTGAACTAAGCCTTGCATATACTAGGCAAGCAGATGCTCCACTGCTAAGCTCCGTCTCCAGATGTTTTTTATTTTTTGAGACACGGTTTCTCTTTAAGCTTGGGATTCTCCTGCCTCAGCTTCCTGGGGGCCTGGGATTACAGATGCATGCCATTGTGCCTAGCCAGGAGCAGTCCTTGAACAGGCAGGAGCTGCCCGGCTTGTGCCCCAGCCTTGGCTCAGCCCCACCAGCTCCAGCACCAGCTGAGGACGAGCAGGGACAGCCCCCTGTGGTCACAGGAAGCGGCCCCGCTGTGTGGCAGGCCGGGCACAACCATGGTGTCCGGCAGCCTGGTGCTGGCCCTGTGAGGCCAGACACAGGAGAGGGAGGGACCCGGGCTCTCAGTCATCAATCCAACCCTGGGCCGTACTCGGGGCACTGAGGGTGAGACAGGTCCCCAGTGCTCCTGCCCCCCCGGGAGCGACACCTGGCAGTGTGCTCCGTGTGCACAGATGTACGACACGGCTTCCTGCAGGCACGAGGCGCTGCCCGGCTGCCCACAGAGGTGCTCTGCCCACACGCGCACGTGCGCAGCGCCCGCCCCAGCGCACTTCTGGACACGCAGGCGAGGGGAGCTTCTCGAGGCCTGCAGAGGACAAGAGAAGGGGGCGGGAGGCAGAGGGGGGTGTGCAGCCTAGCCGAGCCCCTAGAGGAGGTGACAGCCAGCTGCCACTTGAAGGACCCGTAGAAAGGAGGCTTGGGGCCAGGAGGAAGTGACGTCCTCAATAGCAAGAGGCATGGGAAGCTGGGCCTGGTGGTGCACGCCTGTAATCCTTCCAGCCCTTGGGAGGCTGAGGCAGGAGGATTGCCATAAATTCGAGGCGAACTTTTTTCTCAAAAACCTAAGCAAAGAAGCAGAGGAGCCAGGCCCAGCAATGGAGCTGACCTTGGCAGAGTGACTGGGGGGCAGGGCCGTGGACACCCAGTGTGCAGCTCCACCTGCGTGGCACAGGCACAGAGGGGAGCGGCAGAAGCAGCAAGGGGAAGCAGAGGCAGGAGGCTGCCCTGGGGTGGTTGCAGGGAGGAGGGGGCTAGATTTGGTGGTACAGCCAGCAGGTCCTGTGATAGCTAAGGGGTTGCTCAGCACCCTGCGTTTGGGGAGTCCTGCTTTTCAGCACTCGGTCAGGGAGGGGACAGCAGCTCCTGAGACCTGGGGCCAGTGCTGTTTACTCAGCTGTGGGGCTGGCAGCCAGTCTGTCCGCTGCTTCTGTCCCTCTCTGAGCAAGGGATTCTTTTGTTTTTTGAGACAAGGCCAGGGCAGCCTGGCCTTGAACTCCCTATGAAGCCCACACTGCCCTCAAGCTCCAGGTGATCCTCCTGCCTCTGCCTCCCAAATGCTGGGATTTGGGATTACAGCTGTAATCTGGGATTACAGAAGCTCTGGGCCAGGCTGGGATTCTGCATGGGCCACTGCTGGTGCCCTCAGGCCCCGGGGCTTGGCCCTGAGCTGCCTGCTACTTACCCTCCAGATTTGGCTTTCCCCAGGCAGTCCCCTGGGGCCCAGGCAGGGCTATAGGGTCAGGACTGGGCTCCAAGGCTGTGAGGGCTCCCTCCTGCCCCTGGTCTAGCCCCCCATCTCCAGACTTCTGTGGCGCTCACCTGGATGAGGTCCCTGTCCCAAATCCTCCACCAGGCGACCAGAAAGATCCTGCTGAAGTGCTGCTCTCCTGCCTAAATCCTCCATGGCTCCTCGTGACCCTGCTTTATTCCCACTCCCAGGCCTTTGCATGGATGTATGCCCTGTGCCCTCAGGGCTGATTCCTTCTGCCCTGGCCTCCGTGGGGAAGCTGGCCGCTCCTTGGGGAGCACGAGAGCAAACCCAGTGGATCCAGCTGCTCAGGATGACAGGGCAGAAGCGGCCGCAGCTTAGAAAACCAAGGAAAAACCCAGTGTGTTGTAGTACACCGATAATCACAGCACCCTGGGAGGCTGAGGCAGGAGGGTCACAAATGCAACTCCGATGGCCTTTTCCAGGTGGGGAATCTCCATTTCAGCCAAAAAGACCCTGGCTGTGGATTCTGGGATATCCTGGAGTTCCCACCAGCCACAGGACCTTTGCATAAGCCTGGGCCTCCTCTTCCTCTGTGTGTTAGTTGTCTGCCTATAAGGATGGAGTTGCGGCCTGTTCTTCACTTCCCGGACAGGGGACCCACGGTGTGCTCAGCATGGAGCAGGTCGAGTTACCAACATCGTGTTCTCAGGTCCTTGAGTCTGGTCCTCGAGGCTGGGACTCTCTGATCCTAGCTCCTAAACAAGGCCCAGGGAAGGAGGGTGACCTCAACATCACAGAGTCAGTCAATGGCAGAGCAGGGCTGTGACGTGCAATGTACTGAGGTATTACAGACACATACTAAGTACACAGATTTCTTTCTTTATTTTGGTTTTTTGGGACATGGTCTTGCTGTGTATTCCAGGCTGGCCTTAAACTCACTAGATAGCCCAGGCTGGCCTCCAACTCGCTGCACTCCTCTTGCCTCAGCCTCCCAAGTACCCGAACACCTTCCTTGCCCATGGACTGACCCTCCACCCTGTACACCTCAGTGGCCCATCCTGGGCCTGACCTGTGACTGTCTCCCTTCTTAGAGCTGAATGCCCGAGAGTGGAGGACACGCCATGCGGAAGGGCAGCTTTAACTTCTCTGCTGAACGCACTGCTGGGGGTGGAGCCCAGGGCCTAGCAAGGATGAGGCCCAGTTCCAGTCCGATTCACTTTCTAAAAGGTACAAGGGCTGAGCGTGGTGGCACACACCTGTGAGTCCAACACTCTAGGAGGCTGAGGCAGGAGAATTTCAAGTTGGAGCCCAGCCAGAACAACTTGGCAAGACCTTGCATCAAACAAAGGGGGGTGGGTGCGCTGGGAATATAGCTCAGTGTGAAGGCCCTGGCTTCCATTTCTGTACTGAAATAAACAGGTGCCACGGGTTTCCCTAAAAACGGTCCAACTGCCCCACAGCCCGCAGGACCTAAGGAAGTCCGCTGGGGCTGGGGTGGGAAGGTGAACCCGGGTGGGGCTCCAGGGCCTCCCTCCCTCTCTTGCAATGGCCCGGCTCGGGGTGGGCTGTTGGCTGGAGCAGAGCCTGGTGTCCAGGGTCGCGGGGTGGAGCAGGGTTTTACCCCTGCGGCTCCTGGGGCGGGGGCGGGCACACAGGGGGCATCTAGGGCGCCCGCAGAGCCACCCTCGGGCCCGGGGCTCTGGATTGGCCTCCCAGGCCCAGGGCAAAGGCGTGGGGCTCAGAGGGGCGGGAGGGGTTCGCGGGGCATCCCCGGGCTCCAGCTCAGGCCGCCCGCGGCCCGCAGCCTGCAGGGTGGGGACGGGCGGAGGAGCGGCGGGCCGGGCAGGGCCCCG